ACAACTAAGTTATATTATAAAAATCTTTAAATAGTACTCAAAATGTATTTCCTAAATTCATTTGAATTCATCCATATACATGAAAATTGTTACACCTCATTTTTCTAGTCAGTACTTGCATGGTGTTAAAACAAATTGTTTACAGATCATTTTCTACTGGTTAGAATGTTACATTATGGTTCCACAAATGATTTTTTTTCCCTGTTTAACAATCTACAGGACAGGCAGCCAGCTAAAATCTTTAAATTCCCCAATAATCAATACAAGAATGAGAATCACCACCAAGTATTTGAGAAATTAATAAAGCTGTAATGCATAACTGAAAATATTTTAGACAGCAAAACTGTTTTAGAAAAATCTCGATTCTAGTCTCTTGAGCCAAATTTCTTGAAATACTAGTTCCTCAATACTATTCTGATCTATTCACTCTATAACCAAATGAAAGCGGGCTTCTGTCTTGTTAATTCACCAGCAACTGCTCAAACTGAGTGTCCACTAATGTTTACAAACCTTATTTTACCTGACCTCTCTGTAGCATTTGACCCTCGATACCACTGTTCTCCATAACTCCCACTATCCCCTTTTTTCTCTACCTTTTTTAAATTCATGACTTCTTTTCTAATTCCTGAAATAACTGTGCTCTCTAGTAAGCTCTTCTTAAGACTCCTGCTTTTGATTTACAGCAAAGTACTCCCATAGTTTTACCTACCACAGGAGAGAAATTAGACTGGTAGGATACAGTATTTTGTATTGCTTATCCTCCACAAGCCACACCCCACACTACTGACAAGAGTAATCCTTCTAGAATACAAATCTAATCAGGTAACTCTCCTTGTCTAAATCTCAGTAGGACAGAGTCCAAAATGCTCAATGGGTGTCTTATGATCTGATCTGTGTTAAACTTTCCAATCTTACCTTTTCCCTGGTAATCACAATTTGGGTACAGCTTTGTATCTAGGTTTCTCCATTCTTCATCTTCACCTCAAATAATCTCCCTGATGAATCCACAATTATTTATTCTCCCTCTCCTTTCTTATGCACTCTTATACATAAATGTTGCAACTATCTTGGAAGGCTGAGGCAGGAGGATTGCTGTGAGTTAGAGGCCAGCCAGGGCTACATAGTGAGTTCAAGACCAGCCTGAACTAATAGTGAGACTGTCTCAAAAATCAAACAAACAAAACAAATACCACAATTATCTACATTTACATTTGGCTTTGCCCTGAAGCCATCTAAATGCACAACTACAACAATTAAAAAGTGAATAAAGACTAAAGACCTTGGGAAAATATGCAAAGGAAAGATTAAATATACTAGCAAAAAGTGAAATAATTACAAACAGGAAAATTAGGAGAAGCAATTGAGTTATGATAGTCACTAATCTCCTTCAGGACTACAAGAAATCTCTTAAACTTAATTATACAGATAGCTAGAATAAAGCCAGCACACAGTAGCTGTAACTTGAAGCTTAAGATGCAATTTCTAATTTAACTTTTAAAAAAGAACTGCTTTTAAAAACCAAATTTTAAAACCTGGTTAAAACAAAAATGCTAGGGCTGAGGATTTAGCTCAGTGGTTCCGCCACCTGCCTCGAAGTTTGATCCCTAGTACCAAAAACAAATAAATAAATAAATTTTAAAAAATAAATTTCAAAAGTGCTATTCAACCTTTTCAGCTGTAACTGAAAATGGAATGAATTTTTTTTAATTGATGACAATGGCTTAATTATGTTATTTCTCATCTTATTTCAAAGTTTAAAACAGTAGTCATCGAAGGGCGACTTAAGCTAAAATAAAACTGACAATGTCTAACATCTTGAAAAATTTAAAGCAAACAATATAGAGCTACAATAGAATGATTTATTCTATTTCTTCAAAGCTGAAACTAGGATATTACAACTATAACAGAAAAAGAAATTAGGACCAAAAAAAGTTGTATTCAAAATATCTCATTATAAATTGCTCTCACTTTTTTATACAATATTTATAAACAAATACATTTTATTATCATAGTGGTAATATAAATTAAATTTATGTAATACTGATATTAAAGGAATTTGGATAAAGTTTACACTATAAATTGTTTGCTCACATTGTACAAAAGTGGCTGAGAATTACGTTTTTCTTTTCAAATTCTTACTAAAACATCACTTCCAGGATGGATTATTGATACTTCACAAGGAAAACCATGAGCAGAGGATCTAAACAAGCATCTTTTTCTTAAAGGGCAGCATCTGTAAAAAGAAAAACAGCAAGATAGAGTGTTTCTAACAAGTTATATTACTATTATTATTGTTTCAGTTTTTTGAGACAGGGTCTCACTATGTAGGCTCAGGCTAGCCTCAAACTCACAGCAATCCTCCTGCTTCGGCCTACGGAGTGCTGAGATTACAGGCATGCACTACCATGTCCAGCTTGCTTCTGACAAGTTATTACAGAAATCAGTCATTTGGACTACATATCTTCTTATATTTTATTTGCAATCTCATATGCCTGTTTATTAATAGAACTATGTATAAACATAAAAATTAACAAAGGTATATGCCAGATGGTACTGGATGAACAGAGAGAAGACAAAGGCAGGACGCCAGGAAGCCCACTCATCTCCCCCTTTTCCAGTACAGAATAAATTAAGAATAGACCTATGAGCTGTCATAGTACTTTTTGCATACCTCAACTTTTTTTTACTAAACTATGTTTATTTCTGTTTGTCTCTCTAACAGAAAGTTTCATCTCTATATCCTCTTTAAAAAAACTCACATATATGCTTAAATAGGCCTTCTGTTTTTAGATTCAGAACAATCAACAAATCCATGGATTAAAAAAAAAATACTCTGGGCAGAGGTTTTCTAATTTTCTTGAAAAAACATTCATTGTATTTGAAAGTTAAGTACTTACATAATTTTCTTCTGAAACAATCTTCAAATACTCCTAACACAATGTCTGGTTGCGGAAGCAAGTTTTTTCAGGGCACCAACACCAGAAGCTGCTGTTACCTACTTAAACACTGCTAGCTCCTTTACATCATATCTGGGATATCCCATTCTGGCCCTAATTATTCTGTAAAAATAATTTTGAGTATCTTCCAAATAAATGTAATTAAATGTAAATTTAATGAATATACTAAAAAATTACATGAGAATTACAGCTAACTTCTATGCGATTACAGAGTAATCAGGACATAGTTCTATAAATCCATGATTAAACAGGAAACCTTCAGATGATTAATTTCTCAGTATAGATCTTCAGTAAACTCAGTAACATTAAAGATAACAGAATAAGACCGAAAGGAACAAAATAACCACATATTTTGCTGTTTTCTTTCTAAACTTGTCCATAATCTACATGTATCCCATTCAAATACTGTAAAATAAAAACGCTGGTAAGCTTACCTTTTTCTCTGGCCCACATGCAAGTACCACTACGAGCTATAAAACCTTCAAAACTCAACACAGGAAGAGTTAATGAGCGTACAGCTTTCCACACCTATAAGTTTAAAAAGCTCTAAATGGATAAAGGTGGTAAAGACACCCTATGTCCTCCCCCTGGATCCACACACTTTAAGGTAGCAATGATGAGTGAGAAAGGTAAATGGAATCACAAGAACGGGAGGATCATGCAAAACAAAACGATTTCCAATGTCAAAGTGCAATGCAAGAAACAGTACAGTATTCCCAAAAACGTTTGCTACTTTTTCCTCCCTTTAACAATCACAATCAACTAGACATAAAATCCAAAGTTCTTGTAGTAGTAAAAAATACATGTTTATATAAACCTGCGGTTCTGACATTACTATTCCAAGTCTTCTCTCTGTGATCCCACTAGGTACCCCAATCCATAACGCATTAATATCAAAAAATAACGCAACCTAAGAAACATCGCTACTATGTGATACATGGAAATTACCGAACAACTAAGAATACAGACACAGGAACAAGTGGCTCGGCAAAGTTACACACATCTTATGGACCTAGTTAATGACGCAAAGGGGAACTTCAGTGACACAGCCAGGGCTGACCGCCACGTTAAGGATACAGCTCTTCCGAGGTGGAGAGGGCTCTCGCCAGCTCTGGCTGCTGAATCCGGATCCCGCTCCTCCTCCCAGAGGTCTGCACCCCGGCTTGCCTCCTCGCTCACCCACTCCTCGACCCCGACTCCAGCGACTCCCACCCCGGTAAGGCCTGCCTCGAAAGCGGAAACGGTCCAAGGCAATGTGGCTCCGCTCCCAGAAAGACGGCCGGGGGCTGCTTTCGGACAGTGAGCTCGAAGGCATCCGCACCGAGGGCGGATGAGACCGAAAAGGCTCTTTGGGTCGGTAGCTGCTGTGTCCCCTGAGGTGGCCCCGCTCAGACGCGTGCCGCGAGCGTGAGAAATTCCTCAGCGGCTGCTGAGAGGACGAGGACGACGACGAGGAGCCACCGCCTCCGCCGGATCCACCGCCCCGGGGCGGGTGTGGAGGCCTTCGCCGTGGGTACGGTAAAAGCCCGCCGCCACTGCTGCTACTACTGCTCCGGCTCCGTATCTGGCTGTTATTATCGTCGTCGCTGATCTCCCCATCCTCGAGCTCCCCTTCTTCCTTCGGCGACAGGCCACTGGAGGCCGTGGCTGAAGTGTCCGCGGTCGCCATCCGGGAAGCAGCGCCTTCCACACAACCTTAGCCCTCCGTCCGGGGATCCGCCCGACAAATGCCTTCCTGCTCAGCTCCCTTCTTTCCTAACGGACCCAGTAGGTACGGCCCTACTGTATTCAGACACCTAGCAGGTTCTACTCCCCCAACTTCCCCGCACCCCAGTTCTTTCTCGCCGGACCGTCGCAAGCAAGTTCCCTTTCCTAGCGCCCCCTTGCTCTTCAGCGATCAGGAATCTTCCGCCTCGCGAGAAAGGGGTTCTGCTAGCTGCCGAGTCCGCGCCGTCACTTCCGGCAGCACGGCGGAACCGGGGTTCTCAACTCTCGCGATAACGCGGACACCGCGCTACTGCTCCCTGAGATTTGTAGTCTCTAGTCTGTCATTTGGCTCATCCTTCCGGTCTGCAGCACACGCACTCCACACTCTAGATTGGGACAGCTGGGTGGGGGCCGGGATGAGCCGGCCTGCTCTTAGCTACAGATTTGAGAAAGTTTCGTAGTGAACGGAGGGGGAAACACGACTTTTGGTTGCTCTGAGGACCACTCCCAAAGGGACGCAGTAGACCTATTTCTTTCAAGAGACGGGAAGGGACAGGGAACTGGCAGTGTCCGCCATCTTGGTGAAGGCAAAGGAAGGCGCCGGGAGCTGCGCGGTGGTCGGCTCTGCCAGCTCAAATGCGTCATATTAATAAAGAGAAAAGGAAGGTCGAAACTTTCTTGCGCCCCACCCTTCATACACACCCCTTCTGTCTACCCCGCTGTCACCACTAAACTCGTGGGTCCTTCGCCTGCCTCGATTGTTAAGCCTCTGCCTGAAGGAAGCTTAGCAGCCAGTGCCTCGGAACAGGCTTAAAATAGCGCCGAATGAGGGGCAAGGGAAATGCCGACCAATTGCGCTGCAGCAGGCTGTGCTACTACCTACAACAAGCATATTAACATCAGCTTCCACAGGTAATCTGGGAAAGGGAGCGGGGGTGCGGGAACTACCTACCAGTCCGGTTATCGCTTGTGTAGAAGGAACAGGAAGATTCTACTAATTGTATTAACTTTCCCAGCTACTGTCAGGGAAGAAGTATTTTTGTCCCTTATGTGTGTTTCTCAAGACTGTCCATTTTCTCTCTCCTTTCGAGGAAAGTCCTGATTTTTTAAAAGAAATCCAAATACTATACGGTGACTCCTTAGAGAAAAAGTAACGGGAGGATACCTTAATTTTCTACTCTGCTACTCCTAAATATTAGACCATGTTTTGTTATGAATGATGCCATAAGAGACAGAAAGATCTTTTCCCCTTCAAGTCAACAATCACCTTAAAAGCCTTCCACGTGACCATTAATAGTTGGAAAGAAATATCACTAGGCGAATTGACATTTTAGGTTTAGGTTCCTAACTGTAACTGCTAAGGAACTGAGTCATCACTGACAGCCACGAAACTCATTGATGTTTATGAAAGTGCAAAAGATTAAGTTTTCTTTTCTCGAACAGAGTAATCAAAAGAACGTAGGTTTTATTTTTCCTTCGTTTTGTGGAAGAGCCATCAAAATTCTTTAGTTCCGTCAAATCAAAGCTCTTGAAAGCACTTTGAACACTGCCTGGAATTTAATAGGTACTTTGATAAATTTTCACCTTCTCTTCAGGTGCCTACTACCTGCCTGAAGAAAAGAAGTACTTAGTTAAATGATACCAGTTCTGATCTATTTTTCTTTTCTTTTTGTCTTTGTAGCCTAGGCTGGCCTTGAACTTTAGGTGATCCCCCTCCCTGCCTCAGCCTCCCGAGTGCTGGGATCACAGGTGTGCACACCACACCTGGCCGGTTCTGATTTTATATTATATACTTCACAATTTATATGATAGCCGGCGTGGTGGCACAGGCTTGTGATCCCAGCACTCAGGAGGCTGAGGCAGGATTGCTGCAAGTTCAAGGCTAGCCTTGGCTACTACTGAGGTTCAAGGTCAGGCTGAATTGCATAGCGAGACCCTGTCTCCAAAAAAGAAAAAAAGATATTGGAATATAGAAAATTATATCTTTGACCTTTCCTTACCTATTACTAAATGCACCCCTGTATTAAAAGCTATCCCTGAAAAATAATTCTGTGATATTTGTTTTTGAACATTTCATGCAAATGTAGTGCTTTATTCATCTATCACATATGTATGAAGTTCCTAATTGACCAACACTGTACTAAGGATCCATAAAGTTCTTAACCTCCTTAAGTTTAGAGTTGAATGGAGAGATACAAATAATTACAGTTAAGTGCCCCAGAAAAGACCTTCAGAGAGACCTCATTTAGCCTTGGAAAGTAAAAAAACAAAAAACAAAAAACCACTTCTCAAAGGATGTGACATTTCATATGAGAGGAAAGGGTGACATAGACTTGGTCCTCTGTGCTAATTAAGTATTTTCTATTTTATTCTAAGAGTACTTGAGAAGCCATGGAAGGTTTAAAGAAGATAATGCCATGATTAGATTTGCATATTTAAAAGTCCTCTGGCTGCAATGTGAAGAATTAGAGCATTACTTAAAGTGCTAGTCAAGCATCATCAGTTAATTTGATGAGAAAGGAGTTTATTGTAGAATGTTAATTTACTTGCTGTTTCTTTCACAGGGAAATCCTACTACGACGTCAGTTGAGCTAAATACTCTTAGTTGCTAGCACATGAGCTGGCTTAGGGGAAGTGAGAATTAATAAAAAAAAAAAAAAGGAAGCTGTATTATGCCCAAGCCATTTGTCTACTATGAACCTAACAGTTTCACTAACATCTGTCTCCCTCTTTATCCCCATGTACAAATTATGTTACCTGAATTTACTGCCTCCGTTTTTCTTAGCTCTTAGGCCCCTCAAGGCTAAGTCTCTAATAATCTTCTGACACTGCCCTTGTTCACATGACCTCTGTGTTTCTCTACATTCATTTTTCATGATATGTGTTCATTTCCTCCTTCAAACACTCTCTTCTTTTAGCCAGGTGTGTTGGTGCATGCTTGTGATCTTAGCTACTCAGAAGGCTGAGGCATGAGGATGGCAAGTTCAAGGCCAGCCTGGGCAACGTAATGAAGATCTTGTCTCAAAAAAAGGAGGTTGGGAATGTATCTCAGTGGTGGAGGGCTTACCTAGGATGTGTGAGGCTCTGAGATCACTCCCTAGTGCTGGGGAAAAAAAAAGAAATACTCCCTGTTTTGGAATTTCTTGATACTAATTTTGTGATTTGTCTTCAATCTTTTCCGTTAGCTCATCTCCACACCTCCAAATCTCAGTCTTCACGTTCTTTATCAAAATAATTTCAACTGTTATGGTCTCAGTTAACATTTACTTGTATCTCCAGTCCATAACTCTAATGAGTACCAGGCTTACAGACCAGTGTCTACTGTTTGATCTCCTGCTGGTCCTATAAATTCAACATCTGCAGTAAACTACCTCTCCCACAAACATACCCCACTTTCTGTATTCTCTTTCTCAGTAAATGGAAACACCATCCGCCTGGCAACTTGAAAGTCATCCTACCTTGACTTTTTACCACCCTCTTTTAACTGGTTTACTGCTTTCATTCATGCACTGCTAATCACTTGTCTATAATCAGTGATGTATACCTAAATGTTTGGCTCACTAGAGGAAGAGAAAGGCCTGCTGTATAGTGTTTGCCTAATTTCTATAATATAAATACTCCCACCAAAGTTGGTTTCAAGCTATCAATATGTCATTACTGAATTGAGAAGAGATGTATGATACCACACTAGTCTACAGTATTTATACCATTCAGGTAGAACAGATATAAATAACAGTATGAGACTAGATAACGGTAAAATAATTAGGAAATTAGGGTTTGTAGTACTTACTACTTTTGGTTTTAATTGCAAGTTTATATAATTTTAATTTTTAATATGATTGTCTTTAACAACCAGTTCAAACATTTTCTGTTAACAGTCACCTTTTACAGTTCAGCCTTTTAATGGCTTGCCAATGCTATTTTGGATAAATTACAAAATCTTTGATTTAGAGGACCTTCGGCATCATATCAAGTCATAACACTCTTCCCTGTCCCCAAAATATTCAACAGTCTTTACTACTTACACTTAGCTTCCTTAGCTAATTTTTACTCTTAAAACTCTCAAATAGATCAAATCTTTCTGTTTTATGATTCCATTAGGTCCTGTACATACACTTTCATAAGACTCATGACATAGTAATCACTTTCATAATAACAGTAAATAGCTTTTATTTAGTATTCACCATGTACAGTACTGTGCATGATTTATTATTACATAAATGCAGCTGATGGGCTACATCTCCTGCCCTTTAAGTGTACTGTGAAAAATCCAAGCAACACATAGAAAACATGACTGAGATTAATGCTGTATAAAAACAAACCAATTTCAAATGTAAAATGATTAATCTTTTTCATTACAGATAAAGATTTAAGAATGCCAGATTTGCTGGGGATTTAGTTCAGTGGTTCTGCCACCTGCCTCAAAAGTTCAAGGTCCTGAGTTCGATCCCCTGTACCAAAAGAAAAAAAAGAATTCCAGATATGCTGGGGATTTAGCTCAGTGGCACCTCGCCTGCCTGGCAAATGCAAGGTCCTGAGTTCGAACTGCGGTACAAAAAAATGCCAAATTAACCCTACTAGTACATTTATTCATTGATTAACTCAGAAAATTTGAGTGCTTAGCTACTGTGGTAAACAGCTATTATAACCCAGGAAAAATGTAGTGAAAAACATAGCCCCACACCCTGGGGAAACTTAACAATGGGGGGGTAGAAAAATTAACAATTACGATGTAGTGATATTAGTGCTATATGACATAACAAACATCTAACTCCATCTTTTGATCATGAAAACTTAGTTGGGTTTCCTAAATAGTCTTAAAAGAAGCAAATAGGATTTGGTCAAGTTAAATTTCCATTCAGGGCATTGGTTTCATAATAAAGGAGCATATAACTTAATAAAAGAATTAGGGGATATAAATCAGTGATACAGCATTTGTCTTAAATGCACAAGGACCCTGGGTTTGATTCCTAGCACTCAAATAAGCAACCAGTGAAAAACAATATTTGAAAGAGTTGTTCTATAACTGAAGAAATGGTGTTACAGTGATAGTATTTATTTGTTCTAAGTTTTCACTGAGGCCCTAACAAGAAGAAATGTGTTTAAGGTTTGGTTTTAGCTTAGGCTTTAGGAAGCTCCCAAACCATTAAATAATGGAACAGAGATTTTTGAACTGAGATTAGATTATCATTAAGAGATGAGAGCTAGGCAGAGTAGTAAGTTCTTCATCATAAAATCTGTTTTCTAGTGAATAGATACAAAAACATTATAAACTCTATAGAATGACATACAAATACTAGTATCTTAAAGATGTGTTGGAATTGGGGAAGATGGAGACAGAAGATAGGAGGTATTATGTGCTGTCTTTGAGCTTTTATCTCTGCTTCTCATCACTGGCAATGTAAGCAAGCCTGGTATGAGGTATGATCAAAAAATATGGTGTGTGTTTAAATTTTAGCCAGTGTGGTGGCACACGCTTGTAATCCTAGCACTCAGGAGGCTGAGGCAAGAAGATCGCCATAAGTTTGAGGCCAGGCTGGGCTATATAGTGAGTTCAAGGCCAGCCTGAACTACACAGCGAGACCCTGTCTGAAAAATAATTAATTAATTAAAAAAATTATCACAGTAAAGACATTTCCACTAATCCTCCTTAAAATCCTCTCTACACACATACACACACACACACGTGCTTCAGACACACTCATCCCATCATTAATGCCACTTTCTGAAGCAGTTCTAGGAATCTTTTTTTGTGAAGTATCTTTCGTTTGTGCTTTCATGGCTGCTTTGATGTCCTGAATTGATTCAAAATGTTTATTTGTAGTCATGTTGACTTTGGAAAAGAGCCAAAAGTCACACAATGCCAGAACCAGTGAACAAGGTGCATGAGGGCTGGCTGTAATGTTTTTATAAGACTGCCTTTCCATTTGATGGGATTTGGCAGTAGCATTCACTGTGTTGTTTTTTTTTAATCACACCTCATAAAGATACTCAAGAGGAGTTCCAGAACTGCTTCAGAAAGTGGCAAGAAGAATGGGATAAGTGTGCTTCAAGTAAGAGAGGAGTCTTTTGAGGGGGATTAATAGCAATGTGTCTTTTACTGTACTGAATTTTTTAAATTAAATATTCACTGTATTTTTTAAGAACCCATGTATATAGGATAGAGCCGAAACTTACCTAGGTTTTATGTGGGAGTTCCCAGAGCACTGGGATTGCAGGCTTGTACCACCACACCCACCTTGGTCAGGGTCATTTGACTGCTCATATTAAGGACTAGGTTGGGAAGAAGTATCTCTTTTAAAAGTCCTAAAAAATAAAGATACTCAAATCAATTTTTTTACAAATTTTTTCACAACTTATAAAAATTAGCATGAATTGGTTTCTAGTCCAGTATCTGGATATCGTGAGTTTAAGTTTTTTATGTAAATGAGAGGCACTTTTAAATTTCTTTAACCATTTCGATTTAGTCAGAGGTATAATAGTTAGAATTTGAGTTCCCATTTTTTTGTTTGTTTGTTTAAGGTTTCCCATGGATCCTAAAAGAAGAAAAGAATGGGTTCGCCTGGTTAGGCGCAAAAATTTTGTGCCAGGAAAACACACTTTTCTTTGTTCAAAGCACTTTGAAGCCTCTTGTTTTGACCTAACAGGACAAACTCGACGACTTAAAATGGATGCTGTTCCAACCATTTTTGATTTTTGTACCCATATAAAGTCTGTGGTAGGTAATGTTATTTTTTTAAAGCATTTTTAGCAGCTTTCCTTTTTGTTCATACAAAGGAGCAATCAGAATATGTTGCTATTCATATATAGTGATATGTTCAGTAGTTACATCTAGTTTTTTTGGTTTTTAGGGGTTTTTTTTTTGGTTAGTATATGTTTGTGATACTTAAAAGTAATAATTACATTCATTCTGGGGGATTGATACTTATACATAGTACATCTTAATCAGTTTTACTTCTCTTTCTCCTCCTGACCCTACCTCCTCCCCTTCCCCATATCTTCCTCTTTTGTAATAAATGTGCACCTACAATTAGAACTCAGGTCTCCTGACTCCAATATTCTTTCCCCAACCTAAATTATTTTACTGGATAGACTGAGCATTCCTGATACAAGTTTTGGGGTTAAAGGTGCTCAACTGGTAAAGTCTATATAAATGTTCCAAAATCCGAAAACCTTGAAAATTTGAGCTACAATGGCCCCAGCATAAGGAACAATCAACCTGTATTGGAATTTTAGATTGTTATCAATAAATATACCCTTAGTAAAACTGAGAAATATTACTAATGAAACCTCCAGCATCACTCTGACTTTAAGATGATACATGAATAACATGTGCTAAGTGCTTTAAGAGCAACCCACCCTAAGTTACAGGATATAAGGATGTAAGTTTAGAGTGAAGTAGAGTTGAGAAAAATTAATAAAGCTTAAGCATTCATTCAGTCTGGATTTGAGAACTTGAGAGTTTGGAAAAGGTTTTTGACCTTGTGGAAAACAATTGTAACTGAAGGTAAGAACAAAAGCCAGTGAGGTAAAAGTGAGAAATCACCAAATGTTAACAAGTGATATTTTTTTAAAGGAGAGAATTGAGGTAAAGGATGAATGAATTAAAACTTACATTTTATCTAGTTAGGATCTGATCAGAGAGGGAAAGTTGAGAAAGGGTCACCAAAAGAAAAGGATAGAATGAACACAGAGTTTAGATTTAAGAAGGACAGACATCTTTTCCTCGGGGAGAAAAAAACAGTTTTTTCTGAATTATTTGTGAATAATTTATAAATAGACACAAGGGCAAGAACTTTTCACTTTTGAATCTTCAAAACGTCAGCACTTAAAACAGTACTTGGAACATAGTATGTATTCAACTGTTTATTGAATTTGAATTGTACCTTACTTCTGACATTTTGATTATTCATCCAGTAAATACTTACTAAACTTTAGATTATGCAAGAATCTGGTGCTGGAGTTATAAAAAGCAAAATAGTTCTGGCCAATTCCCTGTGCTGAGGGATCGTAAGTTTCATGAGGACAGGAACCATATTTGTCCTTTTTGTTCACTATTGTTTCCCCAGGAATTCATTCATAGTATGTGTTTCAGTAAGTGCTTAATGAATAAAAAACAGTGTTATGAAGATATGATATAATCTGGAAACTAGATTATATCTAGTGGTTTAATATTCTTACAGTATAAGGAAAGAGTTCTTCAGGTTACAGATTTGGGCAAAAAGTTCCTGGTCAGATTTTAAATCCTTAAAGATACAACTGTAAATAATAGGTTGATCTGTTGAAAAGCTTGATAATTCAAAATATGTTTCTAGAGTTTTTATTTTGATAATCTCCAGGTCTGAAATATTCATCAAATTGAGAGAATAGTATTTAAGAACAGGATAAAATCAGTATCATAAACAACATGTATAAATACATTCTAAATTGCAATTAATAAGAAAATTGCAAAGAATTTTTAAGGTCTCCATAGAATCATACTCAGTAACTTGGAAGATACTTTGGAAGTCAGTTGTTTATTTCCAAATCATTGTTAAATATCTCTGGAGAGAAAGACAAAAGGAAATATGTGACTAGAGTTCATTCAATCTATGACAAATTTAATCCATGAGATAGCCTACTGTTGTTTCCCATCAGACTTTAAAATCAGTTTTTAAAAGCATAGTTTAACTACTCTGTTATCCAGAAATAGACAGGATTTACTTATTTGTGATATTCTATAACTTATGTTCAACTTTAATTTTATTTGGCTCAGGAACTAAAATCAAGGAATCTTTTGAAGAAAAACAACAATTGCTCTCCCCCTGGACCATCTAATTTAAAATCAAACATTAGTAGTCAACAAGTACTGCTTGAACACAGTTATGCCTTTAGGAATCCTATGGAAGCAAAAAAGAGGATAATTAAACTGGAAAAAGAAATAGCCAGCTTAAGAAGAAAAATGAAAATTTGCCTACAAAAAGAACGTAGAGCAACTCGAAGATGGATTAAAGCTACATGCTTGATGAAAAATTTAGAAACAAATAACGTATTACCTAAGGGCACATCAGAACACATTTTACCAACTGCCTTAAGCAGTCTTCCTTTGGAAGATTTCAAGATTCTTGAACAACATCAACAAGATAAAATATTACCAATTCTCTAAATCTAAAAAAAAAACCCAACAGTACCTTCACTGAAGTATCTTGCACAGAACTTGATGCCCATCCACTATTCTTTTCAGAGGTAAAGATATTTATGGCAAAATTGAGTATTTAATAAAGTTTTACTTGACGTAACATTATTACTATATAATTTATGAAGACTCCAAAAAAAAATCTTTTATTTGAGAATGAATGGAAGTGCCTTACGTGAGAATTATATACTTAGAAATTTTGCTAGGAAGTTGTATGTTTGCAAGGTTTTTGTGTTTGTCTTTTTAAACTACTGTTAAAAACAGCCTATCACACATAATATGTTTATATTTTAAAACAAAGATTTTTCCTGTACCAAAGCTGAGGTGTTACACTCTAAATAAGATGCCAGATACTAATTAATCACATTAAATGTGACCTTATAACTCCTGTATTCTGTTTTATTGGCACTGTGGTTTCAAAATTTATAGAAGAAAGCCTGAGCTACAGGGAAAGTTATTTAAACTTTCTGTATGCCTTTTACCATTAAAAGTAAGCTTATCATGTCTTCTCATAAGACTACTAGATCTAAAAATGAGTTGTAAAATGTTTTGAAAATAATAAAGTACCTTTGAATCATTCGAACTAGGTAAGGCTGCAGGTACCTCAGACTACTAAAAGCTTGTAGCTAATCATACTCAGCTTCTAAGAAAACATTGTGAAATAATTCAGAGTTCAGAACCTAGCTTTTACCTTAATAAAACATATATTTGTACTACTCTTTTTTCTTATAATAAAATTACTGAATTTCCAACTTCAAAGCTGATACATTAATAAGCAAACATATTACCAAGTTTCTTGTTAGGCATACCCCTCAGCTTCCATGTGTTTTGTTGCCTTTAACTGCTTTATCTCAGAAACAGCATATAAATATAGCGAGCTACTTTCCCCCTTCATACACCCACAGAAAAATTTAATCAAGTACGTATAATATTGTATCTTCATAATTACAACTTAAACTGTAATCAATTTATCTTACACATAGTTTTCTTTTTCTCCCTCTCTTTCTCTTTAATGAATCAAACAGCAATCATAATACATAAGGGAAATGAAATATATTCTTTATAAAAAATACATGTGTCTATTATAAAACTATGCAAATAGTAATTATTTTATAAAATAGAAGTATCGGAACCATTCCTATGGTTGCCATTTGAATTAAAGGACTTGCCTTAGTTCACCAAATGTATAAGAACTCTTTCCTCCAAAAAGCTTTGGTAAAATGTAAAAATTTATTAATAATGTAATCAAGTTATTTAATCCCACTTTGTGATATTACCTATGAAAACAGCATATACCTAATGATAAATTACTGTAAATCTTTCCTATAAAGATATGGCCTTGGGCCAGGGATTTAGCTCAGTGGTTCCGGCACCTGCCTTGCAAGCGCAAGGTCCCAAGTTTAATCCCTGGTACCAAAAAAAAAACCAAGATAATGGCCTTTTTTGCCAACAGTTTGGATAGCCTCTTTTTTTCTTTTAAATGGGATTTGCTTGGATCCTAGCAGCAATCTTTTTACTGTATTAGCACTTTTTCTTTTGTACTGGGTGGGGATTGAACCCAGAGCCTCACGCATTGAACCAGAGCGACCAAGCCCTTGGTCACTGAGCTACATCCCCAGAACTTATTTTAAGACAGGGCCTCACCAAATTGCCCAGACTAGCCTTGAACTTGCAGTCTTTCTGCCTCTGCATCCTGAGCAGCTAGGATTACAAATATAGGCATGGGCCACCATGCTTGGCAGCATTCTTTCTTTCTAGTAAGAAATGTCTTCCAAGCAAATGCAAAAGTGGGAAAAGTCGCTTTTAGTTCACATGAGATGTTTATAACATATTTATTAAAATCCTTTGCAGATGGTATAAACTTAAGTCATTTTATCTTAAGTACTGAATATAGTTACATAGAATTATCACTGCATATTTTTTTCTAGTATGATTTCAAATATCTATATAATCTCACATATCAGTATATAATCATGAGCAAACATACACTGGTCGTACCTACATTGTAATTCAAAATAAGTTAGGCAAATAATCATTTAAACATAAACTATTTTCCAAGTGTAGACTTTCATATAGTTCACCCTCTACCTTAAATACTAAACACTAATTAATGCAGCCTAGTTCCTATCTATAATTTTCTCGGGAACATAAATAAAAAACACAATAAGCTTTTACAAAGTTACTTAGTGTTCACTGATTATTTGACATCATTGAAGAAACTACCCCTCAGTAATTTTAAACTATATTTATTGTGTTTTCTCTGTGTCATTTTGTTACTGTCCTGATAACATACTCTGAACCCTCTTTGTATCAAATTGTTTTATTAACATAGATCTGTCTCTAGCTTCATTCATGGAGAAATACCTAAAAGGAATTTTTTTAAATCCTTTTTCATTTTGCTGATAAGATTTTGTAGCACTCTGACAATATAAAATAAAACTAATCGAAACTATAATTCTTTTTCCTCAACTGGACACATTGAACAACTTTTTTCATTCATTCTGTATACTGGCCACTAACTACAAAGAAGCAACCGCAGGCCAGGCACTTGTTATAAACATGAATATTGGGCTGCAGGATGTAGCTCAGAAGTACAGCACATGCTTAGCATACATGAGATCCTAGGTTCAATCCCTAGCACTAAAAAAAGAAAAGAAAAAAAAAGGATGATTTTCTGCCTTTACATTGCTCAAAGTCTCCTTAGAGAAACGTAATATGTATTATACAATATATTAGTGTTAAAAAAGAAATAGATGCAGTGTACTTTGGTAAACACTGTTGAATTGGATCTCAATGAGAATATACAAACTTTGAGACCTTTTTATAATCAAATACTTTTCTTTGAAATAATGAGTTATCAGGGCTGAGGATGTAGCTCAGCGGCACAGCACCTGCCTGGCAAGCACAAAGCCCTGAGTTTGATTGCCAGTACCAAAAAAAAAAAAAAAAAAGTTAGCAAAGAAAGTAGGACAGTGGAGGTTGACTGGAATGTAGTATTGAGTTATAAGACATTTCTACCTTAAAATGCTTAACTAATTTGTAATAGTAACTTTGTTGAAAGGAAAACATCAGTATAAAAAATATTGCATCTGGGCCAGGGGTTTAGCTCAGTGGTTCCGCCGCCTGCCTTGCAAGTGCAAGGTCTCGAGTTCAATCCCCAGTACCAAAAAAACAAAACAAACAAAATATTGCATCAAAGCCAAGTCCTAGAATTTATTAACAATTTGATATTTTGTTCAAAATAACAAACCTTATTAACACAAATTCCTAAAACAGTTTAACTCAGCCTTACAAAATAATTGATACCCATTCCTTCTCTTAAATTTTTGTGTTAGGTGGTATTGCCTCTGATTTAGACAAGAAAAAAAATCTTTGTAATTCACACATGTATTCTCTACCAACTTTCACAAGAGATAAATATTCCTGTGGTCTAGAAAGTTCTAGAATGAGTACAGGTCTGGTTCTAAATACTCTCTGCCCTCAACATTCTAACTCTTTAATAAGTGTGTTATTAAAATAGAACAAGTCATGTCTCAAAAATAAAAATGATAAAATTTTATATATGTGTAAAGATTGTGTGGTCATTGTTGATCTTTTCTAGGTAGACTATAATGTTTTATCTCATTTCTAAATTTTGAAATACGGGTATTTTAATTTTAATTTTGGTATAATATACAAAATGGTTCATCTTTGTACCAGAAATAGAATTCTTTTGATATTTAGAAGTTGGAAACTTTCTAAAATTAAACATTTTGTAATGTATATTAAGAAACTGCATATTCACAAAAATGTATTTCAATTATGTTGATATTAAAAACCTTTTTCCAGTGAAATTACTGTCATGCTTATTATTTCCAAAAAATATTAACATTTCTGTGGAAGTTCTTGCATGAATTAGATGCCTTAAAAGACTTCTACAGAATTCCTTCTCAAATTGAGGCAAATTATAAAACAGGTAAAGATATGTGAAGTCCTGAGGAGGAATTAGTTTCACATGTGATATAGTTAAATGTACATTATAGTTTATTTGCATTATAAATGTTGTTTATACAATCTGGGCTAGTTACACAAAGGACTAAAAAATGCTCTTTCTAGAAGTCTAATAATTTGAGACTCAAACAAAAATTTATTTGTAGATATGATTACAAAAACTTAATTTTTTTCAAAATTTAAAAATTTATTGTTTTAAAATAAATTTTATCTCATCCCCCCTCAAGCCCCCTCCCCTCCCTATATACAAAAGCTTTGTTTCCATTTTTCCCTTCTACTTTAACTTTTTTCTTGTCCCTTCCTTTCTCCCTCTTCCTTTCTTCCCCTTCCCATTTGAACACTTCCTTCTCATTTCTCAACATCCATTATACATCTCAGTCCTTATTTACACATTTAGTTTCTCACACCAGAGAAGCAATGTGGTATTTAAACATGTGTCCAATTTATTTCACTTAAAGAGTATGATCTCAAAGTTCATCCATTTAGCTATACATGTTTGAAGCTCATCCTTCTTTATGGCAAAGTAGTACTCCATTGTATTAAAAAAACACACATCTTCTTGATGGGCATTTGGGCTGTTTCCAAGATTTAGCTATTACAAACTGTGCTGCTATCAACATGGGTGTATGTATATCACTGTGGTATGATGCTTTTAATTCTTTTGGGAAGATACCAAGAAGAGGTATAGCTGGGTCAAATGGAACCTCTAGTTTTAGTTTTTTGAGGACTCCACACTGATTTCCACAGTAGTTGCATCAGTCTGTTCTCTCACCAACAGTGGAGAAGGGTTCCTTTTTCCCCACAGTCCCTCCAGCATTTATTATTGGTTGATTTCTTATAATAGCCATTCTTTCTGGAGATGGAATCTCAGCATTGTTTTAATTTGAATCTCTTGAATGACCAGTGATGTTGAACGTTTTTTCATATATTTATTTGCCATTTCTAATTCTTTATCTGAGAAGTATCTTTTTATTCAGATGCCCATTTTTGCAATGAGTCTTTAAATTTGGGGGGGGTCTGATTTTTTCAGTTCTTTATATATTCTAGATAATAGTCCTTTATCTGAAAAGCTAGTAAGAAAATTTTTCCCACTCTGTGGGTTGTCTTCTCACTCTTACTATGCAAAGGCTTTTTAATATGATGAGGTCTCAGTTGTTGATTATTTGTAATATTTCCTGTGCGGTCAGAGTCTTGTTAAGTCTTTGCCTACTCTTGTGTCCTCAAGCATTCTACCTATTCTCTCTTTCAGAAGATTTAGTGTTTCTGTTTTAATATGTAAGATCTTTGATCCATTTCGATGAGGGTCTAGTTTCAATCTTCAGCATGTGCAAAGCCAGTTTTTCCAGCACCATTTATTAAAGAGGCTGTCTTTCTTCCAGTGAAGCTGTTTCGCTCCTTTTTCAAAGATGAGGTGACTGAAGGCTGGGGATTTAGCTCAGTGGCACCATGCCTGCCTTGCAAGCACAAGGTCCTGAGTTTGATCCATGATACCAAAAAAAAAAAAAATGTGGTTGAGTGTGTTTGGAGTTGTTTCTGCATTTTCTAGTCTGTTCCATTGATCCTCAGGTCTGTTCTTTTGCCAGTACAGTGCTGTTTTTAATCACAGTACCTTTTTAGCATAATTTCAGGTCAGGGATTGTAATACCCCCTGCCTTGACTGTGTTGCCCAGAATTGCCTTTGCTATTCTAGGTCTCTTCTGGTTCCAAATGAATTTTTGGATTGTTTTTTCTAATTCTTTGAGATATTTTGTTGGGATTTTGATTGAAATTGCATTGAATCTGTATAACAATTTTGGAAGTATGGTCATTTTCACTGTATTGGTTCTTCCTATCCAAGAACAAAGGATATCTTTCCATTTTCTGATCTCTTCAGTCTCCTTTTTCAGAGTACTGTACTTCTCAACGTAGAGGTCTTTTACTTCCTTCCTTACATTGATTCCTAGGTATTTTATTTTTTGGATGCTATTGTGAAAGGAATTGTTTCTCTAATTTCTCTCTCCATGAATCTTATTTGTACAAAAGCACTGTTTTAATTTTAAAAGATTTTTATTTTCTTACAAAATTTTTCTGATTAAAATACTGTTCTTGGGGGCTGGGGAATGTAGCTCAGTGGCACCGAGCCTGCCTGGCATATATATATTCTTGGCTGGGCATGGTGGTGCACACCTATAATCCCAGCACTCAGGAGGGTGAGGCAGGAGGTACACTTGTGAGTTCAAGGACAGCCTGGGCTACACAGCAAGACCAAAACTAAAAATTTGTCTCAACCAAAAAAATTTTTTAAAAGATTACTCTTTAACACTTTAATTCAAAAATACTATCTTAACTTAAATTCACTTTGGATAAGAAGCCAACTAACATGAACCTAACAGATGTGTTCCCTGTCAAGACTATTGGTAAAAAATACCAGTGTGTGTGTGTGTGTGTGTGTGTGCGTGCAAGCATACGTGCACCTGTGTGCACACTGGTTGGTTTTCTTCATAGTTCTCCCTCCACCCGTTTTTTGTTTGGGTTTTTTTGGTACCCAGGATTGAACTCGGGTCCTTGCGCTTGCGAGGCAGGCGGTGGAATCCCTGAGCTAAATCCCCCGCCCTCCCCCCACTCTTTTAGAAAATCTAGCCCACTATCTTGTTTAGGTGCAAAGGATTGTACATAAAACCCACTGAAATTTTCCTAGTAAACAGTGCTTTTCCCTGTAGGATAATCTTTACAATTATTAACTACCAAAAGTCTATCATACAGAAATCCAAACTTCTTTATATTAAAGAAAACTTAAGTAGGTGTTTGTATTGTGTAATTTAAAGATTATTAGTGCTGGACCAGGGATTTAGCTCAGCGGTATAGTGCCTACCTGGCAAGCACAAGGTCCTGAGTTCCATCCCCAGTACCAAAAAAATAAAGATTATTAGTGCAATAATGAACTTTCAGTCTATGATTGTGATAGTAAATCTCAAACTCATGTTTTCTATATGTACAGAAAAGGAATCTGTGGTAAAGACAATTAACTGTGGGAAAGACCCTGAAAGTCTTTAATAACACACTTTATCCTATGAAAATAAGAAATTTTTCAACCTTAAATTGATTGAGATATTTTCAGGAGCCAAGGGATAGCATTATCTACTACTGTCTCGAAGAATAAAGTTTAAACTGGGCATAGTAGTGCACGCCTATAATCCCAGCACTCGGGAGGCTGAGGCAGGAGGATGGCTGTGTTTGAGGCCAACCTGGAGTACACTGAAACTCTGTCTCAAAAAAAAACCCCAAAAAAGGAATAAAGTTTAAGAAAGGCTTACCTAGAAAATCTCCAATGCTAAAAATGGATTTTAAAGTAAATAGAAAAAAAAGACAATTTTAAGATGGGCAAAATCTATAAAAATTATGATTGTAAAATTTTCTTAAAGAATATTTTAACTACTATTCCCCTAACTGTTTTATCTTAAGATAGAATAGCTTGTTTTATGAGCAATAATTGGGCACTTTGGGACTGGGGATTTAGCTCAGTGGTTTTGCCGCCTTCTGCACAAGCCCAAGGACCCCAGTTCAATCCCCGGTACCAAAAATAAATAAATAATAAAAATTGGGCACTTAGAAGAAAAAAAAGGAAAAGAATATTCATTTGAAGGGTCAGTTCACTGGTGCTATTGTCATTGGATGGGGTAGGGACCAGCAGTGTTTTCCAGATTCTTATTTGGTGGATGTGAGAAAGATCACTTTATTTTAGGGCAGAAATAAGAAAAGGAGAAGCACAAAAGAAGTGCTCAGGAAAAAAAAGGGTGCTCTGAAAGAAAAAAGAGAAGATATATCCCGCAAGCAGACTGGTCCATTGCAAGAACAAGAGGGCAGTGGCCCCAAAGTCAATGGCTGTCATCTCTATGACACTGATGGTTTATCCAGGTGGTCCCCCTTGATCTCATGCCAGAAGATTGGTATCAGATGCCAGGTTTGGTGTGTTCTCATATCAGAAGATTGGTACTGGGTGCAGGGCTCAGCTTGATCCCGTGTGAAACTCCAGTGCTGCTGTTCTCTACCAATGGTTAAAGTCTCCTCAAATGGTAGGTCGTGCCCAAGGGCTCCATCCACGTGGTCATGCCCTAGCCTCCTACTACACTATAATTTAATGTACAATTTCAACAAAATCAAATAGCCATGAGATAGGCATATCATCCCGGCCATCCAGGAACTGACTGGACACATACCGACCTCAGGGATGTTAACAGATGGCTGGACAATCACAGATAGGCCATAGTTTCCTCACAAAGTATCAACTAATTAGACAAGGTCATCTTGTTACTGTGATGAAAGCAGAACAAACACAACCACGTTTATAATTTCGTCTAAAAGCGGAGGAAAAAAAAATTAAAGTCATTCTCTAAACCATAAAAGCATTAGCTATTATTATTAATACCAACAACTCAATAAAACTGATAAAATTGATATTGGCCAGGTAGTAGTAAGGTAATCCAATTGTTTAGGCGAACAGAAACAAAGAAGTTATATAATGAAGTTTTGCAGAACACACACACACACGCGCACACACACACACACAGGTACGGTCTTAGAAGGCTATTGTAAGTAGGCTATTTAGTCCTACTTCACAGATTTGGTTCTTAGTAAACTAATTTTCTATTAAAGGAAAAACATGTTGTTTGGGCATGTGTTTTGAAGCTTAAAACAATACTGAGTTTTCAAAAAGTATACACTACACACTATCAGTGGAAGTGATGTATATTAAAAAGTAATAACTAGGCCGGGGATTTAGCTCAGTGGTTTTGCCGCCTGCTGCGCAAGCTCAAGGACCCGAGTTCGATCCCCGGTACCAAAAAAAAAGGTAATAACTATTAGTGGGCTGTATCATGGTTGTGTTCTATGTCTGAACTGTCCTTGTATTCTCTTCTTACCCAGTAAATTGACTGAAAAAAACTCAAGAATGTACTGTAATTATCAGTGGCTATTAGCTCAACAAGTTAATTTTCAAGTAACATGTGAAATCGTCCACAAGACTCGGATTAATGCTGACGAGAAGTCCTAGTTTGTAAATGAACTGACTGAACGTACACTGTAAATGTGAGGGGCGTGGGAACAGACTGCAGTATTTCCACAGTGTAAGTGGTGTCATGACAATTACGTGAGGGCTCAAGAGCAGGAACTACAATTAGCTTTGTCTTCCTGTCTAGCACCCAGCAAACCATGGCCCAGTATAGACCAAACAGCGTTGTTTTGAATGCCATCCTAAGTCCTCAAATTCCGTTTCTATAACAATATATTCCCTGCCCCCCACCGAAAGAAATAACATTATTTGGTGAGTACTCTTCACTTGATCTTAGCCAAAAGGCCGGGAAACGATTGGTGAGAACTCTTAACAGACTCATAAGTACTTGAGGGCCAGGACGTACCTCAGCAGCTCAGCGGCACAGCGCCTGAGGCAAGCGCGAAGTCTTAAATTCGGTACGCTTAAAATGGCATCACTAGGGGGTCTAAATTCATTTGCGTTTTATTACTTTTTTTTTTTTTGGTATAGGGGGATCGAACTCGGGTCCTCGCGCTTGTGAGGCAGGCGACGGAACCACTAGGCTAAATCCCCAGCCCTAGCGTTTTGTTACCTTTTTACTACCCTACAGTCGGTCTCACTTTCCTGGTTGAAAGAACTCTGGCACCCAACGAAGCCTCCAGCGGTTCGCCCTTATATGCTCACGTGAGCGAGGCTGTGCCAGGGCGGGTTGCGGCGCATGCGCACATGAGGTGAGCCGCAGGCGCAGTGGCGCGCGAGCGGGGAACCAAGGTCTCCATCGGCCCTGGCCAGCTCGACCCGGACCCTGGAGCGGCGCAGGCGGCAGTCGGAACTTGACGCCTTCGCCCGCGCGGGGCTCGCTTCCGACTGGCCCAGGTCCGGGCGCGGGCGCCCAACGCTGTCGCTCTGCGGCTGCCGACCTCCTCGGGCGGGCGGACGGGCGGACGGGCGGGAGGAATGGCACGGCGTGGGGCGGGGCCTGGCTCCCCTGCCCGGACCAGATTGGCTACCTCGCTTCCCTTTCGAGTGTCGGTTATCTGAGGGAAACTTGTGGAGACCCCAGCGGCTTGAGCTCTGCCCTGCGCCCTGAGCGCGCAGTGCTTTTAAGTGAAGCAGTTGTCCCAGCCCGAAAAATTTGGGCCGTTCTGGCCTGGGGATTTAGCTCAGTGGTTCCGTCGCCTGCCTCGCAAACGCAAGGACCCGAGTTCGATCCTCGGTACCAAAAAAAAAAGGTTTTGGGCCGCTCTGCCAGCAGCAGTCTCCGGAAGGAGCTTGGGTTTATATTGATTTTTCTTATGTTCGGTCCGTGGAAGGTGTTGGCATTTTACGTTTGAGGACAATTTAAATTACTTTCTTTGAGAAATCCTATCTTTCTCTCCAGGTGCTCATATCCTTGTTTTCCATGACAGATTTTGACGACAATATATACAAAATATACATAAAGATGATTACTAATATAGTAATATTGAGCTTGATCATTTGCATTTCCTTAGTTTTCTGGATAATGTCAATGACTGCTAGCACTTATTACGGTAAGTACAAATATTCTAGATTGTTTTCCCATAATCGAAACTTAAAACTCATATCTTTTGAATGGTTGTGAATGGTTATCTTTCCTTCCACAGCCTCAATTTATTCACATGGTAATAATATAAACAGTGCTGTGAACGTTTTCGTCATTAGTAAATGCTTGTTGTGATAATGCTGGTTATACATTTCTGCAAGTGTGTTTATGTTCCAGGTAATTATTTTGTCTACCCTGGTGAAAAATAATCAGTGTAAAACATGGTTTTTTTAAAGTGATTTCAGTGATGCTTTTAAATTTGAATAAGATTCCTAGTAATGTAGTTTGTCAGTCTCATGTATCCCGTCAAATTAATAAAAACTTAAAGACGGTATAATATTTACATTTGGAAAATTTTAAGGATTTGTCTGCTATTTAGTCACTCAGTAGACTAAACCGGGCTTGGTGGTGCACACCTGTACTCCAGCACTCTGGGAGACTGAGGCAGGAGAATCGAAAATTTGACCCCAACCTGGACAATTTAGCGAAACCCTTTCTCAAAATGAAAAAATTTGAAAAGAGGCTTGGAACGTAGCTCAGTGCTAAAACCCTAGATATAATCTCCAGTACCAAGAAAAACAACAATAACAAAAATACAAGGCTGAGCATGTAGCTCAGTGGTAGAGTATTTGCCTACCATGCTCAAGACCCTGGGTTTGATCTCCAGCACACACACAAATAAAGATTCCCTTTAAAGCCTGAAGCATAAATATAGAATATTTTGAACTCAGAATTGGCATACCTATACATAAACTTCTTGGTACTCCTACAAAGACAGCATATTGGACAGTTCACAACAAAGAAAACAGTGGAAGTGAGCTCTTCAAAATGATAATATAATAATTGCCATTTCAAAACAAAGTACTTTTATGAAGAGATGCATGAATAATTAGAAATGTGTTCTTCAGGATATAGAAGTGCTTCAGGACTATTCATTCATAATGATGCACAGTAGGAGATGGAGGTTTAAGAGGAGGAAAAGGAGAAGATTCTTATCTAGACAATAGAGTAAGTGGAAATTTCTAAATTGATTTATCCCGCTGGGGCCAGGCACCTATTGCAAATGAATGAAGCCATAGGAATGTTTGCATATTAGACGTGGAAAAATAGTTTTCACGTCCAGAACTAGGATATTTCCTACCTTTGTCGATTGTTTGGCCCTCTTTATCTTTTATTTTCCCATTTTTGGTAGAAACTTGAACATGAACATTAGTTCCTGTTTCACTTTACCATAAGGAAATTAGTCAGTTTTAATGTTAGGAGTCTGCTGGGGGTGGTAGAAATTTTAAATGAGAAAGCCATAAACCATGTTAAGGAGGTGACCTCTTTTCAACTTCAGTTAATTCTGCCACATAGGGCAGAGCTTCCAGCTTTTAAACTGAAGAATTATAATCTTTAAATATTGGCTCAAATTCTTTGAAAGCAGTATGCTGGCGAAACAAGAGGTAAGCTGGATGCCACTTTTGGAAAAATTAATTTCTAACTATTGACTCAGATTTATAGCTTGTCAGAATGTTACTTGTTTAAAATAATCTCACTGAAAGGCAGAGGACTAATTAGATCCTGTTAAGGAAAAGTTGGTTCTGTGTAGTCCCTGACATTTACTACATGCCTTTTAAAAGCTGAGGAACCAGAGATTCATTTCACAAATCCAAATATTCATCTTTAAGGTACCTATTATCATAAGTAGCAATAAATGGCTCTCAAAACTTGGATATAATTGACTCTTCTCCGGTAAGATTGCCCTTCTGAAAATATACAAGTCTCAATGTATATATTCTACTTTTGTCACGTCTTCTCAGTTTCTGTACTTACAATATTTTAATGCAGTTACCAAAGTTTACTGTCAAGACAAATCTATTTAGACATAACACAATTTGTCTTCTACTTTTACAATTTTTCAGGTAACATACGGCCTATTTCTCCTTGGCGTTGGCTGTTTTCTGTTGTTGTTCCTGTTTTGATTGCCTATAATGGCTTTAAAAAGAAAAGTCTAGATCACAGTGGGGCATTGGGAGGTATGTTTTTATTTTGAATCTTAAAATACCTATGTAAGTATTTACTTATATAATTTAAACAAATATTTCTAAATTCTGAATATATAAGACAATCTTAATGTTATATATTTTAGACATTGATGAAGTTATGTATTGCTTAGCATTCCTATTTTGCCAGAATTTCAGGAACAAACATACACTTTTAGTGAACAATACAAATTTAACTTTGTAATTGATACAAAGTAAGTTAATTTTGAGGACCTTGATTATTTTTCTCCTTTAGGTGGATTACTAGTTTCCTGCTAGCAAAAATATTGAAGCATTCCTCCTACGTGTGAAATAGAGAAACAGTTGGAAGAATAACTCTTGGAAATTGCTAGTAGTAGTTTCAAACAGAGCACTTCAAACCCAGTATTCTAGATTAATTTTTCAGAACTGAGTTGGGCAAATATTCATAGAGCACTTACCCATTTGTCCCACTAAAAACAAGGGCTACTGCTGTGAACAGTCCTCATGGAAATTGGTTCTTTAGGGCCAATAGGTAACACATAAATAAAATCTATAGAAGTATTCAGATAATGGTGGCGTTTATGAGAAAAATTAAAATATAAAATGTGTATGGTGGATAGTATGGGGTATTCGTTTATAGAGAAACATCAGATGCTTTCCTCTAAGGATATAATTTGGAGCTGAGTCCTCAGGAGTCTAAGAGAAGCATGTTCCAGGCTGACAGTATAACAAGCACATGAGCCCTGGCATAGATAGTCCTGGCTGTGGCCCTAGCTTGCTTGAGTGAGAAGATGGCTCATTTGACTGGAAAATAGTAAGAAAAAGGGAAATAATGAGATGTAAAGTTGAAGAAATAGGCAAAGGCCAGGTTATATTAGGGCTGGAAGATACTGTGAGGATTTTCATTTCAAAATAGGTGGGAACTTTCTGCTTCAGGTCAGAGAAATGACATGATCTGGTTTGACATAGGAACTTTCCTCTCCTACCAGGCAAGATTACCCTTAAATACTTACTCTAGGATGAGATTTCTATAGGATGAGGATTATTTAGAGCTGGCAGGTCTTGAAGTTAACCTACCCAGTCTACAAGATGCTACTGATCTTTAGACCCTAATGCACTATAAATAAACTGTCTCTTCTATATTTAAATACAGAAGATATTTCTCAAGAAGTTTTATGAACTAGATTAGACCTTCAAGGAAGCAAAATAGTATGATTGGTAAAAGAAGGAGTGCTAGAATCAGGCAGGATTAATCCTGACAGTTATGGCTCTGGGACAGTTGAGTTTACCTCTTTATGTGTTTTCTGATCAGAGATAATGGAGTTTTCAATATCTAATTTAGAGGAAGATATATTAAGTAAATGAAGCTTAAACTTAGGGCCCCTCACTTCCAAGGCCTTAGAAAGAACTCTAGCAATGTACTCTCATGGTCCTATAGTTTTATAAATTTTATGAAGGTAAAAGATATTTTTGTACTCTCTCTTTCATAAAGAGGTCATCAAAATTATAGAAGCTTCAGGCCCCACAAAACCTGCATGTATTCCTGATTTTATTCTGAGACTTATAGTAAGAATTAAATGAATAATTACCATAAAGTTCTTGGTTCACTGCACACATAGCCAGTGTTTATTGTGTGCTAATTATTACTAGGCAGTTTTCAGAATCATGCTAATCTGATAAAAGGTAGAACAACCAGGCAGACTGGAATATAAGCATTACTGTTCAGACATGGCCTATACTTGGATTCATGCTGAGTGGCAAGGCAAAATTATAATTAGAAGATGGCTTGGTAACTACAGAGTCTGAGAAACAGTAATGTAAGTCCACAGGTCAAAGGATCCCCTCCCTTGGGTGGTGTGCAACAAATCTGCTAACCTCTGTTTTGCTTCTGCCCTTCATTTTCTGCATTTGAGATTAATCACTCTTCTTTTGTTTTTTTTGTTTTTGGTATCCGGATCGAACTCTGGTCCTTGGGCTTGCCTTGCGCAGGCGGGCGAAACCACTGAGCTAAATCCCCGGCACTAATCAGTCTTCTTTTGATTCCCACATTTTTGCTTTAGGCAGATTATGTATGAAATAATAGGTTAGATTTGAGTTTATTAGATTACTATGTAATTTCAGTCCTACTTTCCCTTTTCTGCTTCTAGAAATTACTCAGGTCACCTTAGCGGGAGTTTTGGGTCTAACTCCCACTATCAGACATTTATAAATGGTGTTGTTTTACTCTTCCACATGGCATCTGTTGAGAATTTACCTGCCTTAGGCTGAGAAAGAAGGCAATGTCACCCTAAGTCTTCCAAGTTCTTTGTAGCACTCTGTTTTCACATATGTGAACCCCTTATCAATGATAGAGATTCATGAAATGTGATGGGAAGGTGAACTAAACATGAGAGGGAGATAGCAGTTACTAATCCAAAACTTCATACATAGCTGAGATTTGCCAAAACTTCCAAGGTGTTTTACACTACATGAACAAATCATTTCTTTAAAGCATGTCTTAAATTCATTTCCTCAGTCTAAAGCTGTCAACAGTATTAATACCGATCACTTCATGTAGTTATTTTAAGGTGATTTGAGTAAAAAGGACAGATTTGCATTTTGTAAAATCTCTGTGTAGATTGTTTTAGGAAAACACTTTTTAAACTTTGTGTTTAAAGATGGAAATAAACTTAATAGTTTGGGAGATAGTCTGATTTCACTTTGTGTACTTCTATATGTTTTAACTTCCCTCAAATATCTTTGTACTACTTTTATATGTGTTAAAAATCAGTTGAGCTGGGCAAGGTGGCACATACCTGTAATCCTAGCACTGGGGAGGCTGAGGCAGGATGATTGCCATGAGTTCAGAACAAACCTGAACTACATACATATAAAACCCTGTCTAAAAAAAACAGAAACAAAAAATTCAATTGAAGAATTTACAGGTTAAATAGTAAGGATATAATGTTTATCATTATTATTGCTGTTGAGCTTTTGTCACTGGAACTGTTGGTGCTGTTACGACCATTGACGTTAACATTTGTTAAGGGCCTCCTATTTCCTTGATAGTATAATAAGCATATTACAAGAATTATCTCATAACTTTTCACAGTAAGCCAGTGACACAACAATTATTATTCTTATTTAACCAATGCAAAATTAAATCTTCAATATGTACTACAAACACATAGTAATAAAAATAAAAGTGAAAAAATAAAATTAATTGAGTCTTAAGTAATCAAGTCATGCAGAGGCAAGTGGGGGAGCTAAAGTGTGAACTCCAGACTGTCCAACTCCAGAAACAAAACATTTTATTATTGATTTATACCATATTATCCTATATCTTATAGTCTGTATTAGAATACACTAAAATAAAGTGTTGGTAATTGAGCATCTTTGGAAGAATCTGAATAGTTGTCTCAGTTATACTTAAACCTGAGCTATGCAATATTATGGAAATAGGAACCTAGTTCCCTGTTCTCTTATTTAATAAACTGTTAATATTTAATACCTCTTTATTAAATAAGTATTGAACTATTATTATTTAATGTCTACTTTATTTAGTAGAATTCTACCTTATGCATTATTTAACAAGATTCTGCCTTTAGCAAAACTGATTATATTTATCATCAAGTTACATAGAACACAAACTGTCAACCATAGAGTAAGTCAGGGCTGGAACATTTTGTGCTACTGTGTAAGTAAAACAGAAAGGCTATGGGGCTGGGGATGTAACTCAGTGGTAAAGCACATGGGTAGCATGTTCAAGGCCGTAGGTTCAATCCCCAGCAAAAAAAAAAAAAAAAAAAAAAAGAAGTGGGGGAGGGGAGGAGGAGGAACAACATCAGCCTGACAGGACCGTGTAAGATAACAGTATTTGGTGTGGTTATCACATACTAGGAAAATGATTTTCAACTATATAGGCCTGAAGTTAAGATTGTTTTTCAGACCCTCAGACTGGCAGCTCTCTCAAATTGAGATTCAAACCAGGTAAACTTGGTAGAGATCAACTTACAAAGCAGAATGTCAATTTCTTGGTGTTTCTTGGCAGATTAACTCATTGTGTCCCTTAAACAAGGATCATAAAATTATCAAAAGCAAATCTAGGGCTGGGGATTCAGCTCAGTGGTTCTGCCGCCAGACCAGCAAGCGCAAGGACCTGAGTTTGATCCCCAGTACGAAAAAAAGCACAAATCTACTTTTTGGGTGAAAAAGAAGGAAAAAGAAATCTGCTTATGTTTATAAAAATAAATTAATATAAGCAGACAGAAAAGAAAACAATGTATTTACAAAGGCTGAGGGAGGACAAAAAAATAGAGGGATGGGACAAAGTAACATTTCTCTAAATACACCTTTTTGTATGTTTGACTTTTACAAGTATGTTAGTGTTATAAATTTATAAATGAATTAAATATAAAATTGTATCAATAAGGGTAAGAAATGGGAGAAATGTAAAAGTGATAGACTAAAATGAAACTAGTTGCATTTCAAATGAATATTGTAAATACTGAAGGGGGAAAAGGGATTAACATGAACACAGAGTTTTTAACTATGCATGCTTAGTCTTAGGTTACAGGGAGGGAAAAATTTCAAACAAACGTTAAACTGTTTGTAGTAGTCTTGTTTTGTTGTAGTTTGAGTAAAGCAGTTTTAAGACAATTGAAAATACAATATAGGACTGAGCAGTTGAATGAATTTGTCAATATTCTTGGGAGCCAAGGTCCTTAGTGTGAAAAACTATGAAAAACTTAGTGTGAAAAACTAAATACTAAGATGGGATGAGGGAATTCAAGAATCTGTGGGGATATATAATTCCTAAAATATATGCATGTATACGTGCACATTTTTATGTATGTGTTTATATTTGTATGTGTATTTATTTGCCCTTTCCACAAGTGAAAGACAGCCAGTACCCTGAAACCCTATATCTTGGTTTTTAATACCCACTGTCTACCAAAATGAACCAGAGCTACTGAGAGAAATGTCTCCTTCCAGAACTGGATAGAGCAGTTTTGAGATGAGCCTGAACTATCTATACCAGAAAAGGAGGAAATGATTTAAAAAAAAAGTTGAGATCTCATCTCAAGATGACAACAGCCAGCTTAAAGGGACCCTTACTGACAAGTTCTGGGACAATCTGAACACCAAAAATTAAGTACAGTGATATAAGCTATTAGAAAAAAATAGGAATTCATGAGACCATACTGATAATAATTTTCTTTAAAACTAGGGATGATCAGTCTTGCTTACATTAGAATGCCAAAAGCTTATTAGACAGTACAGAAGGAGTACTAGAGTTGAAAAATCACCTATAAAGATTGGATCAGGAAATTGGATCCAGTTATGAATGGATCATAACCAAATACTAAATCTAGGTGAAACCTTTTGACGAGGGGTAGAATATTTGCACAGTTTCAAAATATTTCCCACAGATAGCATCTTTTTAAAAAAAATATGAACAGCTTCACGACTTTGCATGTCATCCTTGCACAGGAGCTGTGCTAATCTTCCCTGTATCATTCCAATTTTAGTACTTGTGCTGCCAAAGCGAGCACACGTACTTATTCAAAAGGAAAAGAGGTTAACTTAATGTTGGGAAAATTACACAGTACCTTAAGACTGAGTAATCAAAATTAATATTGCCAGTGATGTGAAAATGGCCATCAAGTGCTTCCAGATGTGATGCTCTGAGAAGGACACACCATCACCCATGTATTATCTGGGGCAGAAATATATACCTTCAGTCTAATGATGAAACATCAAGCACCCTATTTTTTAAAAATGGGTGATTATATTCTCTGAAATGACAATGTCACAAAAGAAAAAAAAAGCCTTGTAGAAATGAGTCATACGAAAAGAGACTATCTCCATCTGTTGACACATTCTTCAATTAAAGATGGTCTTAGGGCAGTCGCATCTGATCTAACTTTTTGAGGTCACTGTGATTGAATTTTGTGTATTCTCAGTGTTCAAAGACTTGCCTATTCTGGGTTTTGTCATTTTTATTGATGGATTACTTAAGTTTTTATATTTTGACTCTTAATTCATTTTTTGTAGTATTAACTAACTATTGTGATAAATGCAAGGGGCAATCAAAATACAGTGAATGTTTAAATTTTTTTAAAAATGTATTACAGTAAAAGACACATTGAGCCAGACATGGTGGCAGATGCCTTTAATCTCAGCACTCTGGAGGCTGAGGCAGAAGAATTGCTACAAGTTTGCAGTCAGCCTGGGCTACATAGTGAATTTAAGGCCATCCTGAACTACAGAGTGAAACCCTATCTCAAAAAAAAAAAAAAAAGACATTGTCATTAACCACAGTGCAACTAAAGACACTTACTTTAGCACTAAGTTTTATTCACAAGAACATTGTAAAATTCTGTTACAGGGCCAGGGATTTAGCTCAGTGGTTCCGCCGCCTGCTGTGCAAGCACAAGGACCTGAGTTCAATCCCCGGTACCAAAAAAAAAAATTCTGATACAAAAAGTTAAGGATTATCTGGATGATTAAAAAGCCCGTTCCAGGAAATGTTTACATTTTCATATGGAATTGCCTAGAGTGGGGATTTATTAACTTTTCTTATACAACCCACAACAAGTTCTTGAGTTTCAAGAATGTTCACCTGAGCAGTTTATTTCAATGCCCTCTTTCCACATTGCTATGATAGCAAGAGTACATCTTTGCTTTTTTTTTTTTTTTTCTTTAGTATCATGTAGTATAAGTTTGTTTTTTGTATTTCCTGATTTTTGGTTTGGTTTGGTTTGGTTTGGGTTTTTTGGCTTTTTGAGATAGGGTCTTGCTATATAGCTCAAGCTGGTCTTGAACTCACTATGTAGCTCAGGCTGTCCTCAAACTTGCCACAATCTTCCTGCCTCAGCCTTCCAAGTGCTGGGACAGGTGTGTGTCGCTGCACCTGGCTTTATTTCTTGATTTAATGGCACATTTTATAAGCCTTCATTAAAATTGATCACCCTTCAAAAAATGAATTCCGGACTGAGGATTTAGCTGAGTGATGCCACATCTGCTGGCAAGCACAAGGTCCTGAGTTTGATTCCTGGTACTGGACCAAAAAAAAAAAAAAAAAAAAATGAATGCTCCATTTTTTTGTTTGCCTGGACAAAAGCTAAACAGACAGAGGAGAGTTGAAAAATCTAAAATCACACTCACAGGACATTCGCATTTGTAGTTGTGCTTCAAATTCAGATTATTTTCCTGGATTTCTACAGAAAATTTAGCTAAGAAAAACTGCCTCTACCACTTTACCATAGATCATTAAGCTCACCAAGAGAGCGTGTGAAAATTCTTTGGAATGCATAAAAACCTTACCTGCTTTTAAATTTCTTTTTCAAACTAGAAAAAAAAATCCCAGACTATAGGGGGAAAATGTAAAAGATACAAACTTGAAAACCTATAATCTCATTCTTCACAGAAGGCCATGGTTAGTGTGAAAATTCTTCAGTCTTCTAGTCAATGTATAATATATATATATATAGTTTTTTTGTTTTTTGGTACTGGGGATCAAGCTCAGGACCTTGCACTTGCAATGTAAGGACGATGCCACTGAGCTAAATCCCTGGCCCCTAATACATATTGTTTAATAATTAATCACTACTATTCAGTTATCCAACTTGATTATAAAAAGTGTCTAGTATCTTATGTTCACATAGCATTTGAAAGATCAGAATATGGAAAAAAAATTTTTGTCAGCTTAGTCAATTTGTCATTCAGTATACTGCTTGGTAATAACAGTAAAATACAAATGTATTGAAAATATGCTTTAGACATATAATGTGAAAATACCTGAAAAATACAATTTTTCACACATTCATGTATGGATTAATTATAATTCCATGTTTATATGTTTCTTTCAGGGTTAGTGGTTGGATTCATCCTAACCATTGCAAATTTCAGCTTTTTTACCTCTTTGCTGATTTTTTTTCTTTCTTCTTCAAAACTCACTAAATGGAAGGGACAAGCAAAGAAGCATATAGATTCAGAATATAAGGAAGGTAAGATTAATTACGTTTGACATTACTCAAAATGGTAAATCATTTCATACTGTCATAAGCTTTTAATCAAAACATGTTGTTTAGACTGCTAAAACAGGTAAATTTTATTTGAGAATTACTTCAGTGGCCTAATTTAGTCTACCATTTGTTTTACTACAATAGGAAGTAAGAACAGAATTTTAGAAGCACTAGAGTCTATCATTCATTATTTTAAATTTATTACTAATGGTAGGAAATGTGGGATAAGATGCCATACCACTTTTTGTCTTTAAAAAATTTTTAATCATTTTTACTAAACCTTAAACACAAGTGGCGCAGTACCCGAGTAAGGGGTAAGGAGCTTTTTCAGAAGACAAGAAGGATTCTCCTTTTGGGTTATCCACCATTGGCCCCATGGCTGCCACGAAGATGGATCCAGACCTAGCCAAGCACCTCTTATTTGAAGGGGCCACTGTGGTCATCCTGAATGTGCCCAAGGGAACAGAGTTTGGCATTGACTATAACTCCTGGGAGGTAGGACCCAAGTTCCCAGGTGTGAAGATGAATGCGCCAGGCATTCACTTTCTTCACTGCAGTTCTGTGGAAAGCCAATCCTAGGGATGTGGGTCCTCGTATGGGCTTCTTCCTTAGCTTGCAGCAGCGGGGGTTGACAGTCCTGCGCTGGAATGCTCTCCAGGAAGAGGTAGACTTGTCCCCAGCCCCAGACGCTGAAGTGGAAGCTATGAGGGCCAATCTGTAGGAGCTGGACCAGTTTCTGGGACCTTACCCATATACCACACTCAAGAAATGGATCTCACTCACCAACTTTGTCAGTGAGACCACAATGGAGAGGCTGCAGCCTGAAAGGCAGATCTGTGCCTTCTCAGATGTGCTGCCTGTACTCTTCATGAAGCACACCAAGGACCTGGTGGGGCAGAATCTACCTCGCTGGGGCACTGAGTACAAAAGTTATCAAGAGGGCCTAGCTCAGCTACCTAAAATGTAGCCCAGAGCTGGGACAGTGATCCGATTCTCAAAGCTACCAACACAGATGTTCCCAGCAGGTGCTACACTAGCAGAGATAACCAGGGACAGCATGGACTTGAGCTATGCACTGGAAACTGCTCAGCAAGCAGTTCCCCAGCAGCCCCCAGGATGTGCTCAGTGAACTCCAGTTTGCCTTTGTGTGTTTCTTGCTGGGCAATGTGTATGAAGCATTTGAGCACTGGAAGCGGCTCCTGAACCTCCTCTGCCAGTCAGAAGCAGCCATGGTGAAGCACCACACCCTGTACATCAACCTTATCTCCATCCTGTACCACCAGCTTGGTGAGATCCCTGCTGACTTCTTTGTGGACATTGTCTCTCAAGACAACTTCCTTACCAGCATCTTACAGGTTTTTTTTCTTCAGCCTGCAGCATTGCTGTGGGTCCCACCCTGAGGATGAAAGCTGAAAAGTTCCAAGCCCACCTGACCAAGAAGTTTCGGTGGGACTTTGTCTCAGAGCCTGAGGACTGTGCCCTGGTGGTGGTGGAGCTCCCCGAGAGCATCGAGACTGGCTAACCCTCTGAACACATGAGCTTTGAGAGGCCCCTTTCCACATGAATGCAGCCCTGGCCTCTCCATTCATCTGCTCTTATCCTGAGACTGCTCCAGGGCAGCAGTTCTGCCAGGTTCTGCAAAGATCGAGCCAGAATTCCCTCCTTCACCAATAAATTCCTTCATAGAAAAAGAAGCTAAGATGCTAAAAGCACATTTGTGGGCTCTCTATTCTCCCAGTCATGGCTAAGCTGACAAGCTTTTACAGAAGCTGCTGGGACAGACCTGCCTTGGTAGCATCATCATTCCTTCTGATGAGAAGTGGAGCTGAAACTCCAAGAGAGCTGATCATTTGTTCTATAGGATGATTAGAGAACAAGAAAACCTGGATTCCCTTGAGAGTCTGAGATATCAGTGGGTGATTTTTTGGAAGTTAAATGTAGGCTCACAGGGGAAATGAGCTGCAGTTTCTACCTGCCCCTGGTTCAGTGGGAGTCTGTGATAGAAAACTTAGGTAGTGAGCCTCGACTGAGAACTCAGTGACAAGGAAGATGGTTGGTTGGGTCTGCTTTAGCTTTCTCCCCCTAAATCCCCTTGTCCTGTCCAGAGGCTCCAGTTTTTAATCTCCCAAAACTGGAGTGGCCCTTGATTTCAGAGATCCTCCTGGTGCTATCACTTACCATCAGTTGCATTCCGAAGCCTCAGACACAGAGTGATTTGGCACCCCTCCCATGTGTCCCGATTCCTCACAAGAGCTACCATGACTGTTGCTGGTGACCTGGACATACAACAATAAAAAGAAGAGTTCTTGTCCACAAGCAGGCTTCTTAGGCCCTGTTGAAGTTGCCTTCTGAACTCTGGAAATGACCTAGGCAGCCTGAATCTTCCCAGCCCTCCTGTGGAACTGTCTGTCATCAGTGATGATGAAGCTTCTGCTCTCCTGGGAGTCTTTTTCTTTTTTGGTACCAGGTATCGAACTCAGGACCTTGCACTTGTGAGGCAGGTGCTGGAACCACTGACCTAAATTCCCAGCCTCTCCTGGGGTCTTGAGGTCATGCCTCTCGTGCTGCGTGGGCTGAGTTCCATCTCTAGATGGACACACCAACCCTCCATGCTGACCTCAGACTGTTTGTTGTACTCTTTAAGTCCTGATGCCATCATCTTCTAAAGCTGGGGCTCACAGCAGGTTTCTGAATGAGAATCCCTGCTACTTAAGGGTTCGGTTTCTCTTGTTTCCTTGGAGGTGTTTTTCCAAAAGCATAATGTACATTAAAGTCTTTCAATTGAGAAAAAAAAAATCTTAAACACAGGTTTTTATCACTGCATGATTTTCTTTCTGAGGGAAAATCATTTGTCTTTATTTGCTTGTTTGTATCCAGGAGGGCAAAGAAATTGGGTTCAGGTGTTCTGCAATGGAGCTGTGCCCACAGAGCTAGCCCTGCTCTACATGATAGAAAACGGCCCTGGAGAGATGCCGATCGACTTTTCGAAGCAGCATACTGCTTCCTGGATGTGTTTGTCTCTCTTGGCTGCACTGGCCTGCTCTGCTGGAGACACCTGGGCTTCAGAAGTTGCCCCAGTTCTGAGTAAAAGCCAGCCAAGGCTGATTACAACCTGGGAGAGAGTTCCAGTTGGTGAGTCTTGATTACAGTTTCTTAAAAAAATAAGAACAAAAGCAAAACCTTCCTGATTTAATGTATTTCTTACTTAATAGCTTTGCAGAATTTTATTTGGTCTCTTTAATTGGAAAATTGCTATAGGCTATTAAATTGATGATAAATAATATTTGCAGGAAATGTTAACAAACCCTAGATAAATTAGAGGTAGACCTAGACCTAGATAAACATGGAGATTGACCCACAAACCTACCAGGGGAGAATAAAAGAAAAGAAGGTATTTCTCAAGGACTTAGTATGTAATTAGTGCTTATAATACCCAGTCAGGACTCTGAATCTGTAGATTAAAGCAATAGTAGATTGCAGATGTTCAAAGAAAATAAAAATGTCTGTACTGAACACTTACAAGCTTTGTCTTACTTTTCTTGTTGCTGAGACAAAATACCCAACACCCATAGTTAAAGGAGGAAAGGTTCATTTTGGCTCACAGTTTGTAGAGGTTGGTTCCAAAAGCAGGATGGCATGGCAGAGGGACATTGCAGAGGAGAAATGGTCCATGGCAAAGCAGAGCAGGCAGAAGGCAACAAAGCAGCAAGTGGCAGCAGCAGCAGAAACAATAGCACCAGCAGCCTTCTTTCTGTCTCTTATATTTTACCCAGGTTTGGGTGGGTAGCACTCACACCCAGGGTGGGGTACCCTTAATCCAAGTTTTGTACCCTTAATTCCAGCATCACACCCTTAATCCCAGCATCACGCACCCTAGAACCAGCCACTTCTGAAAATCCCCACCTATGACTGTATGAGGCTTTGGGGGAACATCTAGGTACAAGCTATAACATTCCCTAAATAATACTATATAATAACTATTTACATGGCATTTACATTATGTTAGTATTATAAGTAATCTAGAGATGATTTAAAATATGTGTGGTAGGATGTGTGTAGGTGACATGAAGATAGCACAGCATTTTATATCATGAACTTGAGCACCCAAGGATTTTGGTATCTGCAGGGGTCCAGGAACCAATCCCCTGTGGACACCAGGGACTGCTGTGTGTTTAACTTCCCCATTACCATTATCAACTACTAACTATTATATTTTTTGTCATCCTCCTCCTCTTATCCTTCTTTTTTTTTTTCTTTTGGTACCAGGGATTGAACTCAGGTCCTTGAGCTTGCAAGGCAGGTGGCTGAACCACTGAGCTACATCCCTGGCCCTCTTACCCTTCTTTTCCTCCCCAATTCTCAATTCTCTTCTCTTGTTTTACAGTCTTTTCTTCCTCTTCTTCATCATCATTCTTATAATAGCTAACATATTTTGAATACTTCCTGTGTGCAAAGCATCGTTCTGCTTTACTTGGATCACTACTTAGTACTATAATAGTCATATAAATTTGTACTTTTATTTTCATCTTGTGAACAAACAAGGCATACAGAAGTAACAGTCTGACACCCCTGAGCCATTCTGCTTTGCTGCTTAGAATTCAAGAGTTGTTTAAGAGAAAAATCATACTTTTTAAAGTAGGTATGGTCTTGATACTGCATTAAAAGGAATTCTTTCTAACAGATACTACTTTATTCTCACTCAGATGAAATCTAAAAAAATTGATCTCATAGAAATTAAGGATACCAGAGGCTGAGAAGAATAGATAAGAGGGAGAGATAGAGGGAGGTTGATTAGGAAGGTACTAAATTATAATTAATTAAGAACAAGAAATGCTGGTACTGTGTTGCAGAGAAGGGTGATTAGAGGTAACAATAATGTACTATATATTTTTTAAAAGCTAGAAGAGAGGATTTTTGAGTGTTTCTCCATAATGAAATTACAAGGAAATAGATATATTTGAGGAGATAGATGTATTTGCCCTGATTTGAGCATTATATAATATATGTATGTATCAAAATCTCATATTGTATCCCATAAATATAATTCTTATGTATCAGTTAAAAATTTTACAATTTAAAAAAAGAGAGACTTTTTTCTTTTAATTAAATAGGTACCCCAAATTTTCTGCTTTCCTTGACTTTATGTACTTGTTGATTATTAATCAGATGACTTTATGCATGTTTTTTCTTTAGGAACCAATGGAGGGGTTACAATGGTGGGACTTGCTTCCAGTCTCCTTGGTGGAACCTTTGTGGGCATTGCATACTTCCTCACACAGCTGATTTTTGTGAATGATTTAGACATTTCTGCTCCTCAGTGGCCAATTATTGTATTTGGGGGTCTAGCTGGATTACTAGGATCAATTGTGGACTCATATTTAGGTGCGACAATGCAGTTTTCTGGTAAGAACATCACCTTATTATTGCAGCTTATTGTTTTGTTTTGTTTTTTTTAATGAAATGGGGAAGAAAAATGGAAAATTAAAAACTGAAGCAGTGAAAACAAATCCAAAGACACAAGATGCTGAGGGACCAGAAATGACAGATCAGTGCATCTTTTACAATTTTTGGTTTTTATTCTTCCATGTTAAATTAATTGTAAGAGAGTTAATTCTGCAGATCAGTGATTAAAGTGGAGGATACCATTGTGTGAGCCTATTACCTAATCTCGGGAAAGAGGATATTTGGGGTCAGATCATTTTAATGTACCTCCTTCCATTTGTTTTCTACAAATCCACTTCATAGATAAATTATTGAACTAATTTGACTTCATAAACATGATCCACTTTTCTACTGTGTTAATCATGCTTGTTACCTTCAGCACTGAGTTTTTAGCAAAGTAGATGAGAGAGTCAGTTTTCTTAAAATTTTCAGTGCTTTCCCTGAGGCTCTCCCGTCCTATCAGTATATTGATAAATTCCATTAGGTATATATTGGTTGCACACTCTACCAACCATATTTTCTCCTTTGAGTGACATCAGGATTTGGCTGGGAGGGTGGAGAAGGATCCCCTAAGCAGCGTAATTCTAGTGCTCTATAAACTCCAAGATAATCTCCTTACCTTTTCACTCCTGTTTCCACCAATCAAAATGTTTGTTCTCTGATGTTTCATTAGTTTCATTAGGAAGCAGTCTGGTTTTAATGACCACTAAAAGGTCAGTGACTCTGCAAACACTCAGAGTATACTTTTCTTTTTGGCTTATTTATTTTTGATACCAGAGTATTACATTAAAGGCAGGAAAAGAAATAGGTTCTGCAGAGCAAGTTTAGGCCAAATAAAAGTAAGAAAACAAGTACACTCTACAGAAAGAGAGCAGGCTACTGTGAGAGAACACAGCAGCCCACTTTTCTTTTTAAAGAACCTAAGTTTTATTCTAAATTAGGCTCTAAGAGGGGAGGCATATTACATATTAAGTAGATTGAAGAAACAATGTGAGCAGTGTGGCAGATTAATTCATTCTGTATATCATTTGGTGCCCTCTGTGTCACTTTGTTTATGCTGCTATAAAAAAAGTGCCTTAGACTAGATAATTTATAAAGAGTAGAGATTATTTTTCATAGTTCTGGCTATGAGGAAGTTCAACATCAAGACACCAGCAGTTCAGGGCGTGGTGAAGGCTTACTCTCTGCTTCCATACTGGCACCTTGTTACTGCATCTGCACATAGTGGAAGGCAGAAGGGCAAAAGGAGGAGGCAGCTCTGTGGAGATCTCTTTTATAAGAGCATTAAACCTGTTTTTGAGGTTGGACCCCTCATGATTTGACTACTTTCAAAGGCCCTACCTCGTCATACAAATACAGTGAGTCTTGGTTCCCAATGTGAATTTTGGAAAGATACAAACATTCAAACCATAGAAGCTTCCTCTTGTCCCAACACCTTGCTGGCTCTGTATACATAGTGCTGAGGCCACGGATAGGAGTTCTGCTCACAGAGGCTTCATAGGTTGGTCTTGGAGAGGAACACCAGGAAGACAACCCAACCTTGCTAGTATCACACTAGCTCTGCTTTTCATGTTCTCCCATCTACTCCTGAAGCAATAAGAGGTACTGACAAAACGGCTCTGGGATGTGCTGAAAGCCATTTATTCCAACAGGCCTTTTGTAAGCAAGGGCTCCATATATCTCACCATGTAAATTATCTATCTATCAGGGTCATTTCACAGGTTACTGATAATTTTTCAAAGATTGTCTTCTTTGGAGAAAGAAAGCTAATTTGTTCTTGTTTTAAATCAGCCACTTGGATCTTCTGTTTGTTTCTTTTCCACTCTAGGTTTGGATGAAAGCACTGGCATGGTGGTCAGCAGCCCATTGAACACAGCAAAGCACATAGCAGGAAAACCTATTCTTGATAACAATGCAGTGAATCTGTTTTCTTCTATCCTTGTTGCCCTCCTCCTCCCAACAGCTGCTTGTGGTTTTTGGCCCAGAGAGTGAACTTTATTTAATTTCCACAGGTTAGAATTGATTGAGTCCAGCTAAATGTGCTGTTCTAAGTTTTATCCTAAGAATAACAATTGTAATGCCAAAATGTAAATGTCAGCTCCTCTCATATTTCATTGTAAAGGAATTACACATTTTTTCTTTCATCAACTCCTTTTAACAGCTAATATCTTTCTAGTAAGAGACAAGTGCATAAAACTTATGCGTATTTTTCTCCTACTGACTGTAGCTTCGTAAACAGTGGAGATATATTTTTCCTATATTTTGTTGTACATTGAACTAAAATATCTACATGGTAAATGTAAGACTGGTTTTTCTTTTGTAAACCAGAGTAAAGACTAAAAGTGATGATATGTTAAAGTGATTGTCAGTTGTAGCAGAGAAAAACCACTGCATCAGTTACTCCGGTGCTATATCTGTTCCGGGTGGCTTTAAGACAAGCTGGTGTGTGTGGAAGCTTAAGTAAGTGTAGTATCCTGGATTTTTATGACCTTGCCACTCATATTTTTGAAAAGTGCAGAAGTTGGTCCCTAGTGAATTGTATGGTTTACTCTGCATTTTTCTTCCTTCTTCCAGATTAGTGATGGAAAAAGGTAAATGTCTTTTTTTATATGACCATTACAAAGTGTGAAAAAATTATGTGTTAAAAAAGCTAAATTTTGGGGCCAGGGATTTGGCTCAGTGGTTTCGCTGCCTGCTGCACAAGCTCAAGGACCCAAGTTCAATCCCCGGTACCAAAAAAAAAAAAAAGCCAAATTTTATCTGAACAATGTGTACCTTAATACACTATTTTGAATTCATCTACAGTGTGTTTTGTAGTTTTCTTTGAAATATACATAGAAATTTGTTTTAGCTTTGGTAATCTGAACAGTAACCAGAGAGTCGCTGGAAGCTTATTTTCATTATGTTTTTTTTTTTTTTTCCCTGTACCAGGGATCGAATTCAGGACCTTGGTGCTTGCAAGGCAGGCACAGCACCACTGAGCTAAATCCCTGGCCCAATTTTTTTAAGTCACTGGAAAGTACTGTGATTTCCTTTTATGAACCTTTTAACTTGTGCTCACCTTTACATTCATTATAGCCTCAACCAAAGTGAATTCTGTTTTCTGTCTTTGTTCTTCACTATGACTTAACTGTGTTCTGCAAAAGTTTTGACATGGAGAAGATTATTTTACTAAATGTATTTTTAAATGTTTCTCGTGTGATTTCTGTACATTTCTTCCCCCGCTCCTTTTTCATTCTTAAAGAAATTAGGAAAGGATTCCATAAATAAGCTACTGTCAGAGTGGATATGTTTAGTACTCTTTATTGGTGACTCCTCTATAGTGGTGATCTAGAACTGACTTGATTTGAGAAGGAAAACAAAACAGTTTACACCTTTAATTCTTTTTTTTTTCTTCCGTACCAGAGATTAAACTCAGGACCTTGTGCATGCAAGCCAGGTGTGGCGCCACTGAGCTAAACCCCTGGCCCAATATCTTTCATTCTTAAATCAGTTGACTTAATGCCTTATAGCCAGTGATTTTGAACTTTGGGTACACATGTGGGCATATTTTTAAAAATCACTTGCATCTGAGCTCTGATACAGATTTTGGTAAATTTCTCTTGGTTACTTTTCTCACTGCTGAAAAACATACCCAACACCCACAAGTTAAAGGAGGAAAGGTTTATCTCAGCTCCCAGTTTCTAGAGGTTTCAGTCCATAGTTGGCTGGCTCCAAAGCAGGGTGGCATGGCAAAGGGGCGTCACAGAGGAAAAATAGTTCATGGCATGGCTGGTAGAAAGCAACAAGCAGCAGCAGCAATCCTCCCTTCTTCTGTCTCTTTATATTCTATCCAGGCTACAAGCCTATTGATTGGTGCCCTCCACATCCAGGATAGCATTTCTATTATCCACACCCTTAATCCCAGTATCACACCCTTAATCCACATTCACACACCCTAATCCAGCCACTTTCAATACTCCCCTCCTATGACTGCAGAAGGCTTTGCAGGGACATCTAGATACAAGCCATAACATTGTTCTTTGTCCAGAATTTTGATTTAGCAGATCTGGGTATCGAGACTTTTTAAAGCTCTTTTGAACATTAGAATCCTGGGAAGGTTTTAAAAACACTGTTGCCAAGACTTCTAGTAAATCTGAATATTTAAAGGTGAGGCCTATATTTTCATTTTATTGTGGCCTACTCCACATTTGGGTATTTTTAGAAAACTCTCCGGTAGACATTAATGTTTAACCACTTTGAGACCCACCGAATAAGAACATCCTAAAGCTGTGTATCTAAAAGGAACTTTTAAAACATGGGACTTTTCATTTTTAGGGAGAAAACCTATTAGTAGAAGCACTGCAGGCTGTCTGTCTTTGTGGATTAATCACTTCTGGTAATTATCCAATATCTTACATCTGCATCACTTTCCAAATCATTACTCTGTGTGTGTGTGTGTGTGTGTGTGTGTGTGCGCGTGTGTGTGCTCGCACATTATTCTAACACAGCTTTTTTTTCCTGGAGATTCATTCTAATAATATACAATGGAACAAAACTACTTATTGGAACCACTTTGAAATTGATAGAATCACTGCATTATTAAGTTTGGAGAAATGATGCCTTCAAATCATTTATTTGAAAACCTAGATATATTTTGGAATTAAAAATTTTTAAATTTTAGAAAATTAACAATTTATTTAAAATATTTTGCTCAGAACTAATAAAAAGTCCTCAGTAGAAACTCATTATCAAATATAGTCCTATTTTTATGATGAATTATGAATAGCTCTGCCAAGCGTGATAACTAAAGGCTATAAAGAGCATCAGCTTAATCAGTAAGGTTTTGTCATGTAACTTGTGAAAATTTTGTTTTCATAATTTTGTGGTATAAGAATTACATGTAAGGAATTTTGATGTTCTTTTTTTTAAAAAGTTCTATATCTGTTTTAATATAACTTGCTTTTTTGGATATTTAATTCAACCTGTTCTCTTGCTGAGTAGGCCAGGTTATGTTAAAAACTCCTTTCATGGAAAGAGTTCCATGTAACAATATAATACAATACTATATGCAGCCTGCCTAGACAACCATAAAGGCTCCTTATCTCTTGTTACACTGTTACACAATAGAGGATGCCAAAGTACATGTGGCCCAGGGCAGCTCAAGGAGTCTAATGTTGAAGACACATTAAATGAATCCACCAGGAGACCAAAGAATTGACACAGAATGACAGCAGGTCATTTCATTTTCAGATTTTTCTCACTTGCCTCATATACCTTGATTTATATACCTTTTTTATTTCTAGCTGCTGCATATGTATACGATGCTAGTGCAAAAATGCTAATGTCACTAGTTAGATACAGGCCTAATTAATAAAGAAAAATCATGTGGAATGTTTTAAAATTAATCACATGCCTACAGTATGAACAATGGCTGCCTGTTATGCACAGTGCATTTAGTCGGGCCCAATCATCTGATCTTCCTATTGCTTTATCTGATGTTCTCAGTGCCATCACAATGCGAAGAAACTGTCATAGCCACCAAATTCCAAGTAAATTGTGCATGCTTTAAAAATGAAAACACTGGTGGTGCAGGCCTATAATCCCAGAACTTGGGAGGCTGAAGCAGAAGGATCACCACAAATTCAAGGCCAGTCTCGGCTACATAGTAAGTTCAAGACCAACTGAACTATGTAGTGAGACCTTGTTGCAACAACAACAACAAAAAGAAACACAATTCCCAGCTTAATTATTTAATCTCTTTATAGATTGTTGTTATCCAAACAGTTCTAAATATTTTAAAAATACATAGTGTTCCATATATGTCTCTAATCAGTGTTTTCTTTAAGAGTCTCAATGTTGATAATAACATATTCCTGGAGGGAAATAAAAAATACAAAAAAAATAGTTTGACTACTTGGCTTTCTGAGGACTGTAATCATGCCAGCATTTCTTAGTCACAGAAAACAGTATTAATGATTTTGAAACCAGTGAGTCAGGAAATTATTGTAGTAGGAATAAAAGTGGTGGAGCAAGACTCCTGAAATTATTCTCCCTGCCAAAACTTATTTCTCTCCTATTTATTATACCTGCCTCTTCAAAATCTATTTTATAAATGTAGCATCTTTTGTGTGTTTATATTTTGTCTTTTTATTAATGTTTACTTAACAATGATTCTGTTCTTTTTTTAAAAAATTAGAATATTTGAGATAAAAGCTAAAATATTCTTTGGCCTCTCAACATTCTTGGCCCCCTCCTCTCTTCTCCAAGGTAATTACTGATAAAAATTTAGGATATTTTTACATAATATTTGTTCCAGGTGTATTTTAACATACTTTTTAAAAATCAGCAAAATTGTTGTAGTTAGATCTCTTTTTGGTGCCTTAAGTCAGGTACTTATGGCCAAGAAAAATGTAGCAAAAAATATTGGAAGAATGTACACCAAAATGTCAGTGTTTTATGTGGTAAGGTGATAAATGTTTTAAATTTTTGTTAAAATAACTTTAAATTTTAAAGTATATAAAGTATATGACATTAAAACTATTAAAATACACATACAGAATTGAGGATATAGCATAGTGGTGTAGCACTTGCCAAGCATGCTCGAGGTTCTGCGTTTGATCCCCAATACCACACACACACACAAATTATATATATGGTCAAATAATTAAGTCTACAATCAAATGTGTTTCTTCTATAAATCAAGAACAACGCTTTAAAAACCTTAAAGTAAACAATGAGTAGGAATTACCCCTTTTTCCCTTCTACTCCCCCATCATTATTTTAAATGATAGTCTCTTTCTTTACAAAGCACTTTATTAACAAAGTAAAATGGACCTGACAACATGTACAGAACACTGTCCCAATAAGAGTAGAATATACTTTCTTTTCTAGTGCACATGGAACATTCTCCAGGACAAACCATATATTAGCCCACAAAAA